TACTTTTGTTCTTGGTCTTTATCACAGCAATAGAAAACAAAATAAGACCCCCCATTGGACTTCTTTGTAAAACTCCATTTTTCACTTGTGCAAAGTTCTTCCATCTACTGGTAACTTGCTAGCAAAGCATAGGGATTCAGGCTAATGTTTGTTGTTTTTGTTTTTTTAAGACACTGAGTAAAAGAAATATATGAAAATCTTTATAAGGACTGGAAAAGCTATTTGAACATATTTTTCTCATTTGTTTTTTCTTTTTTTTGAACTCTCACTATGTATCCCGGACTGCAAAGTGATTTAGACGAGGGTGATATCAAGCTCACAGAGATCTGCCTGTCTCTGCCCCCAGAAAGCTGGAATAGTTAACAGCATGCATCATCAAATCCAAATTCCTTAGGTTTTTAAAAATTCTAGGACATGGTCTGGAGAGATGGCTCAGAGGTTAAGAGCACCGACTGCTCTTCCAGAGGTCCTGAGTTCAATTCCCAGCAACCACATGGTGGCTCACAACCATCCATTATGAGATCTGGTGCCCTCTTCTGGTGTGCAGATATAAATGGAAGCAGAATGTTGTATACATAATAAATAAATAAAATCTTTAAAAAAATTTCTAGGACAGTGTATAGTACAATATAATATAGCTATGTGATGATGAATATAGCTTTGTAAGTTGGCCAACAACCAACAGCGAACTTTGGAGTTTTAATCTAGCTTATCTGATTACATTGTTAGTGTGTTTAAAATGTATCACCGAAAAAAAACACAACAATTCTCAAAACTATATATTCTAATGTCCTTCCACCAAGAACAAGTAACTAAAGTAACAAGCCAATTTATCCTGTAGCCGATATCTCTACCTTATATTTCTACTATTATTTGTCAATGTTTAAAGTGATAAGAGATAAACACTAGAAATGATTTATTTTTTGCTGTTGTTACTACTCCTAGAGAAGTTGTTGCCTTGAATTTCTGCTCAAGTAAAATTGCTATTCATAGAAAATAAAACCCTTAGTTTTTAAATGTATTATTTTTAAGTGGCAATTGTCATTTAACCAGAATTTTGTTATAACATTGTAGATGACAATCAATTGAATTTGTTCTCTTAGAAGTGATCAATTTCTAATGACAGTGGTTTCTACTGACAGGATCACAATCAAATGTTAGCACACTCTCCTTAAGCAAATGGAAGAAATCATCCTCACCACCACCATATAATCTCGTTCCAGTTTTCACAATTCATCATCCTATTCTTTGGAGCCATTAACAGGTATCTCTGGATGTCTCTCTGCATGTATCTAGCTCCCTCTCTCCAGTGGCCAACTGGGAGACATGGAATACTATTCCGGGTCTTGAAGACTCTCAAGGCACGATAACATATTTTAGAATGTGAGAAGTCTTGCAGCTAGAGATAATCTGCTCAAATTTGCTTAGCCCAGCATTTCCCAAAGTTAACTTTCTCAAGATTAACTATAGCGTTTCACACCCCCTCCATACAACCCCACCTCCAGACCCCCCATTCCTCAAAGCAACTTTGGGAACAGCTTGCAGAAGTAGCTCCATAAAGCAAAGTTTGGGAACTCTACTTTAGTGGTTTCTATCCCCACAGATTTTGCTGTCTGAATAATATATAAGGAGTTTTGAGTGACAATTGCACCCATTTGAATATATCTTCAACTGACTCCAAAATTAGAAGTTTAAAATGCAAATTTTCGGAAAGCAAACTGTCTTTCCCATTTAGACATGTTGCTGAAATGTATTTGATTTCAAATGTATTTGATGTATAGGCTCTTATCACTTGCCACCATATCTGCTGTAGGTTATAGGATCAAAAGACTGATAAATATTGAACACAAATATGATTAGTTATGTTTAAATCTTATGCATATAGAGATCCCTGACAATGATGCATGCTTGAAGCATGCCATACTTGAGCCCTGACGATGACTGAATACTTGATTTAGTTTATATATTTACTTTTTGGTGTATGCTTCTTGGGACAATTGGGATAATAGAGACCCCCTTCATTTATCATCTCTTCAAGATGGGTACTGTGCTTCTGTGTTCATATAGGGGAAGATATGAAGCCCTTTCTATTGTGCCTCAGATATGGCAGCTGAGAATCTTCAAACATACTAGAAGTCCAACTTTACATCATTTCTCTCAAATGAACCTCTCTACTCAGCTACTTGGCTAGGCATTAAATCTTGGCATACACAGAACAATAAAAATGGGGCAATTTTTAAGGTATATCCCTCTTGGCTGGATTATGAAGATTAGCTTCTTAGCTGATGTTCAAAGAAGCCATTGAATGTAAGCACAATCAAAAAAAATAAAACCCTGGAAACCATTTCAATATCAACAGGAAATGGAGCAGACAGGGTGTAGTCAAGACACCACTTTCTGCTACATAACATCAGACCACATCACAAGGGATTACCACATTTAATTCTCTAAGGAATGTGATTGAGTCCAGCTCCAAGGAAGACATATCATCAGGAAATGATATAATTATTCTCCTGGCAAAGGTGGACCTACAGAATACATGGGTTTGATGCAATTTAAAATTTAGGTCACTGGTATTGAGGATATGTTTAAATGGATGAGTGGGTTTCTTTCTTTTCTTTTTAAAAATAGAATCCTTTCTCACATAAAAATATATCCTGATTAAGGTTTCTCCTCCTTCTACTCCTCCCAGTTTCCCCCTACCTCCCCTCCCATCTGGATCCACTCCCTTTCTGCCTCTTCTGTCTCTCATTAGAAAAGAACAGGCTTCTAAGAGAAAACACAACACAGCACAGTAACAGATAATAAGATAAAACAAATATTACATCCAAGTTGACAAGACAAACCAGCAGAAGGATAAGTGTTTAAGAGAAGGTGCAAGATCAGAGATCCACTCATTCACACACCCAGGAGTCCCATAGAAAGACTAAACTGGAAGTCATAATATACACATAGAGGACCTGGTGTAGCCCCGTGCAGGCTCTGAGCATGCTGCCTCCGTCTCTGTGAGTCCAAATGAGCTTTTCTCAGGCTGATTTAGAGGGCCTTGGGTTTCTTATTAATTTTCTAGTATATTCTGACACCAGTTCCTAGAGAAAACAAGGTCTCTCTCCTCAAAGCAGTCTGTCTCCTGTTGCCTTGTCTATTCACACACTTCTTATCATTGCTAGAAGTTGAACCAAGAGCTGTGTTTGCTAAGTGGGGCAATGCCTCTCAGCTTCACACAAACCCTGACCCGTGTTAGCATTCACTGTTTCTCCAAATGTGGTGTGTATGCACTGCTTACATGCAGGGTGATTTTACATACCTTGGGTGTATTTTTCATGTTAAAAAGAAGGTGATTTGTGTAAAAAGAAATGCATCTGCCATTTACTGAATATTTCCTTGTAGTGTCAAGCAAAAAAAAAAAATCAAATATATGAACTTGATTGGTCTTCATAAGACCACTGTGTGCTTGCTCTTATTATCTCCAGTGAACAGAATGGAGACACTGAGAGGATAAATAACTTGCTCAAAATCATGTTGGTAGAAACAGACAAAATCCAATGACAAGAATTTGAGCAGGGAGCCCCCCCCCCTTTGCCATTTTGTGGATATAGAATGCACAGGCTGGCTTTGAACTTGAAAGACTGCTTGATATAGCTTCCTAAGTATCTGGGAACCTAGGCATGTACTCCAGTGCTTAGATGGACAACTTTGTAACTGAATGTCCATAGTAAAAATTTAAGGAAGATAATGTCTGTGGAAAAAGCCCAATCCAATCCCAGCACCACATATACTGGGTACAATAGTGCCTGCCTGGAAGCAGGAAGATCAGAAGTTCAAGGTCATTCTTGGCTACATAGCAAGTGTGAGGCCAGCCTGAACTTCATGTTCCATCTCAAAATAAAATAAAATAAAATAAAATAAAATAAAGCCATTTAAGTTGTATCAAATATCTGGAGAACTGGTAATGATGCTGGAACTCATGCACACGTGTGTCTGTGCGTGAGTGCATGTGTGTGTGTGTGTGTGTGTGTGAGAGAGAGAGAGAGAGAGAGAGAGAGAGAGAGAGAGAGACTTGAGATTAAGATTTCATGTGCTCTCAAGATGACAGTCAACAGGCAGGAACTTAGGTCAAGTACAGCTGTCACCCCTCTGGAGATGAAAAGCCCCGACTTTCAACTTACCTGCTTTTCATTTTGCTCAGAAAATTGTCTTGATTAGGTGGGATCTTCCTATTTTTGTACATTTTTTAGACATACAGTCATATTTCTATGGAAATATAAATAATTCAAATAATTCTGAAAAAGAAAGGCCTCAATTACTGTATATTACAATTTAAGTGGGGGGAAAACCGTTAAACTTAAGAAAGAGCTGACAGTTGGATCATAAGCATTGCAGTAAGTTTCTGGTGTCTTCTCCAGAGGTTTAAACAGATTTTTTTTTTTTAGGGGCAGAAGTTTAAGGTCTGGCTGGGGAATAAAGACCCGTTCTGTCTGACACTTCCCAATTCAAATCTAACATTTATCAAATGAGTCAGAAGTACTATATTTTTTTTTCAAAAAGGAGCTGGCAGGCTGGGTATATTAAGCATCCATTATTACAAATTTGTATTTTAAAAATCTAGGATCTTTTCAGTAAATATGCAAAGGTTTCTCTGACAATTTCTCTCCTTTTTAATAAAGCCACCACTCACTGAAATATTTTACATAAACCCCTTATATCTAAAGTGGATTCCTGGCATCTGGGAGTTCAAAGTCTCCCCAAATTCAGAATGGGGGAAATGCTACATAATTACAGCTCATTTGAGAGTAAGTCATAAAGTAATCAAAAATGTTTCGAACCAAAAAAGTACCATCTTAGAATGACATTTAAACTAAACAAAGTGCTGTTAGCAATTACACTTTCCTAGCAATTTCTTATTCATGAGCAGAGAGGGAAAATGTGTGCTGCCATTGCTTTGAGAAGGTATATACCAGTCAAAATGGGCGTTAACCGGACACAACTGGCCAACAAGATGTGAAAAACCAAATGCTTTAATGAGGCTATGAAGAACAACAGCTCAATTATTTCATTGGATACATTAATATCAATCATAATATACAGTGCTGTGGACCATACAGAAAGAATCGCTGCACCCAACAGCAGGGGCTGCTATTAACATTACAGTAGCAAGTGTCCGCAAGAGACAGTCATTTGTTGTCTTTGTCAAGAAGTCGGGGTCTTTTTATACTGTTATCAACATCAACTTCTCCCCAGTGCATTTTTCAAAAATATTAATAAGTGCATTCCTTTGTGCTTTGTATCGTTTAATGTCCTGTGCATTTCGTTTGTTTTTATTGCTTTATTGTTTACAAACAACCAGACTGAACTGTGTCACGATCTGGGTATGACCAGATTGGTTGTGTAGTCTTTTGTTTTTTGTTTTTTGTTTTTTGTTTTTTGTTTTTTGGCAAAGTCAGAAGTTTGGTACTTCCATTATGTTACCCAGAGAAAGATGGATAATTTGGTATTTTGAGCACTCCAAATGGAGGTACAACCCTGAGTCACAATTCTGCACCCAGGGGTCGGGGAGTGGCATGGATCATTCTTTCCTTAAAAAACACTGAGCAAAAAATACTGCCTCTTGGCTTAACCAGTCCCTGAAAGAATCCACATTCTTGCTGGCACAAAAGAAATAAATAAAACCACCCCCATGTTGCAGCCTCCAAAGTGCTTGCCTGCTTCTCCCAGCAGCTGTATTTTAGGAGGAAGGAGCTAGGGAAGCCAGTGATGGCAAGCCCAGGGACTACAAATCAGGGTAGTGGTGCAATATGCCATACTTTCTTCCAACAAAGCTTTCTAGAAAGTCGCTCTGCCTTGGCAATAGTCACTCAGCTGTGGGTTAGTCAACCTTGTGAAACCTTGTTCAATTGTTTAAAAAGAAAAAAAGTGAGATCAACAGAGAAAAACTAGCATCATAGCATTGCGATCTTCAATTTCTGTATCCAGCACTCCGCCCCTGACCCCCCACCACAAATATGAAGAGAAAAACAGACAATGCTATGATTGTATTTCTGAACACTATGGTACAATTATCTGTTCATGCACATTTGCATTTCTATTCTAGGAAAAGAGTCACACACTTAAGGAGGTCGAAAGAATGGGAACTTATTTTCCCTACCCCCTTAAGTAATAAAGCTACAAGACTGGATAGCATCATCAATGTTTCCAAGGATTTGCATTACCCAACATGCATGGGAACCGCACACTTGACAATTCTCACCAAAGCCATCCATCATTCACACATCCACTCCTCTTGGATCTCTCCATCACCCATCACCAATTCACATTTGACGTTTAAACACTTTAAAAAAAAAAAAAACCCTCCTGAAAAAGGTTTCCTGATAAAAGAATTTGGCACTGTCAGTAAAATATATTTCATATTAAAAATATCTGAAGGGAAATTGGAAGCTCTAAGAATGTCTACAGAGGCACCATGCTACATCTTCCCTCTTCACTCCAGATACCATCTTGAAACTTTCTCCTACTTTACAGTTCAGTCAGTGCAGGTCCAAAAAAGACTGCTGAGATATTTAAGGCACTTCATTCTGAAAGGATATGCTTTATGCCACTCACTATTCAATTCTAGGCTGCTACTGAGAAATTCCATTCAACAGCCTGGCATGTAATACTATATATCATCTGTATAAAACATATAGACTTGATACATGTAACTCTACAGTTATTGCATAGGGCAATGCAAGTAGGCAATGCACAGAAACTAACTTCACAATGTTGCCACTTGGTTAAAACATTGTTATCAAGTAATTTGCCTATACAGTATTTCCCTCTTTAAAAAGAATCCAGCCAGTTTATTGAAAGAAATCCCAATTTAAATGACCATTATGGGCATAGTAAATGCTGTGGTTATCAGTCTTCAGGAATATAGTTATTTTTATACCCTAGAAATACATATGTAAGTATTTTTTTCTAGAAAGCCTGGTTTTTAATCTATTAATACTATACCTTAAATGTGTTGAAAAACTGTTTCAAGTGATACTGGAATATACAAAATATTTGCAAAGCTCTCTTTGAACACAAGACCTTACGGAAAAGTAGTCTTTCGTGGGTGTACAAAGAATGCGGAGAACCACCAGTGAGTTGTAAAAGTATCGAAAACTCACCACTTTAAGATGCATATTCTTAAAAATTAATACAAACATTGAAAAAATGATGATAATAAAGAATCTATACAATCAAAATGACTAAAACATAATTTAAAAATAAAAATAGTAAAGCCAATTAGAAATGCGCCCAGTTTGGTTGTCTTTATCAAAAGCAAAAATGATGAAAAAAAAAAAAGAAAAAAGAAAAAGAAGAAGCAAACTTCCGGTGTTCCTTGATACTCAGAGAGGACATTCATTTCCGTTTCAAAATAAAACATATCTTATGAAAAATTGAATCACGCTTATTATGAGGAAAACTGTAAATGTGCCCAATAAAAGCCAGAAAGGTCAGATCCTATGTTTCATGCCTTGTTCTAATAACTCCCTTCAGTGTGGGTTAGCATAAGTTACATTTTCTAACCAGAAAATCCTCATGAAAATGACTGCTATATTCGTCTCTATGTAAGGTATTCTTTTTAGTAGTTTTCAATACAAAGACTAACTGATGCTGGGAGTGCCATGTGTCTTTAAGGCAGTACCAGGGAATCAATGCATTTATAACATGTGAAGGGCTTGGATGTCTTTTCCACTTTTTTCTTCATCGTCATCTTCTTTGTTTTCTTCTTTTGGTTGCTTTACATTCATGTAATTTAACTTTGCATGTTAATTTCCAGGGAGGTCACAGACAGACAAAGCTCACACCAAGTTTAGTTTTCCCCTGAATGAAAACGGACAGACACTTCTCTGAAGCAAATGTCTCCTGCTCAGAAAGCTCACACTTCGAGAAATCAGTTCACAGATACTGCACACTGATGGTACAATACTTTGGAGGCCTTTTTAGTTGTAAAATAGAATATACAAGTCTGGCTCACAAAATTCTAAAAATAAAATATATCCTGGGCTACTGATAAAGCACGGAAAATTCATATTAAAGGAAAATTATCAAGAAAACCTCTTCAGGTAAATTATGAAGTCTCCTGAAGAAGAGAGGAAGCAGTTTGTGCAGAGGCAGAGCAAGGCGGGCTCGCTAACACGCATGCTCCGTTTCTTCTGCACTCATACTGCTTCTCCGGCTGCTTGTTTTAGAAGCTCCTGGGGACACTGATGACAGCAGTGGATCAGTGACGCCAACAGGAGAGAGGGCATCGTCCATCAGGATGTCTTCCAAGTTGGAGCCCATCTTCCTGGGGATGCTATAGGCGGGGTTGTTCTCCGGCATAGTGCCAAGGTTGTTGGTGAAGGTGATGGTACCGTCCGTGAGATCCAGGGTTGTTGTACACGTCAGGTCTGTCTGGTGCTGCACAAGTTCCTGGCTGCAGTTCTCAAGAACTGGTTCTTGCTTGATGATCCGGTTCACCAGATCAGGGGAGCAGAGGCCAGTGGATGGGATAAGGGAAAGTCCATGTGCTCTAGCCTGCATCTCAAGCTCCTGTAATAGAGTCAAAGTCACACAGTTAAGTAGGCACGTGTGTGTGGCCGATTTCCACCACAGAGAAACTATGCAGGTGGGTGTTATGTGCAGTTGCTCAAACCCACAGAATGTGTATTACCATTAGTGTCTCTACCTAAGGCTTTGGAGGGTAAGGCTGGCCAACTCTAACAAGGGGGCACTGTGGTACCCATGTTGATGATAAGTGGGATTGCTTTGTCAGGTGGCATGTGGAGCTGTCTGGCATTGGCATTCTACTGTTCTATGAACCTGAGACTGCTTTTAATAACTGATGCCTATTTTCTATTAAAAAAAAAAAAACAGAACCCAGGGACAACTATAAACTGTTAAAGTAAACTTTGTTGCTTTTTAAAAAAATTCTGCACTTCCCACAGTACAAGACAGATGGTATCTATAGTATAGATAAATGCCTTTTTAGATGGTATATATTTTATTATAAATTAACAAACAGAATCACTCTCTTACAGATATTAATGATTAAAACAAGGAGAAGCACCCAAGTCAGATTGGCCATTGTCAAAAAAAACAAAACAAAAGCCACCTAGCGCAAATGCTGGCAGAGGTGTGGTGAGAGGGGAATCTTTACACATTGCTGGTGGGAATGTGAACTGATGCTACAGCAGTCAGTATGGAGGTTCTTTGAAGAACTAAACATGAATCTAGTCCATGGCCCCTCATCACACCCTTGGATACTTTCCTGAAGGACTCCAAGTCCGCACCACATAGAGATACTCACAATCCATGTCTATGGGTATGCTATGCTGTTCACAATGGCCAAGATGCTGTGAACTTAGATGTTCATCAACAGATGAGCTGATAAAGAAAATGTGATACACCTACATGATATAGCTTTATTCCGCTCTAAAGAAACACTGAAATCATCCTCTGGAAAATGAATGCACCTGGGGATCACTGAGGGAAACAAAATAAGCCAGATTCTGCTAAATACTGTGTTTTCTCTCAAATGTGGAATCTAGGTGGTTTTTTTTTTTTTTTTAAGTGTGTATGTAGGTGGAAGATACAAGAAGAGAAAGGACAGTACAGGAAGGATGAAAAGTGCCAGTGAAAGGAGACTGGTGGGGCAAGAGAGAGGGATGAGGGTGGTCTGTGCATGAAAATGTTACAAGGAAGCCCATCGTTTTGTACAAGGCAGATATGCTAATAAAATATAAAATGAGAGCAAATAGAAATATAAAACTGAGTAAATAGTAATACAAAGGCATATAAACTGCTTGGGAGATAGCTTAAGATTTCAAGGGAAATGTTGTAGGTCTCTCAACAACTATCAGAATCCCAGACAGTTCCCTGATTTAGCTACACGCTTTTCAGTGCCCAGTTTTGGTGGAAGTGTGCTAGAAACTTTTCAGTCTCCAGTTTCAGTGTGAGTGTGCTACACACATTACAGTCCCCACTTTCAGGGTGAGCCGGTACATACACACTTTTTGGTTGCCTCATAGCACTTCCAAACAGGTTTCTGGAGAGGCTGTAGTGACAAGGACCTCATGAGCACTGACACAGAATGGGAGGTAAGGGTGGCTTACCTAATCTAACCCCAGGTTTCCATAAATTGTAAATCTCTAGAAGTACTATATATTAGTAACTACCAGAGTTATGGTTGGGGGTCCTAAAAAAATTAAACAAAATGCTTATTTGCCAGTTACATGCATTCCTACAAACTGTTACTCAGTTGTTAAGACAGAAATATTCAATTGTTTGGGTGTGACACAACAGTAGCTATTTTTTTCTAGGTTCTGGTTATTAAGACACCAATGGTGCCATGAAATAAACAATCTCCATGGTCCACACAAGCAACCAGAGCTTCGTGCAATCTAACCCTTCTCACCCTGGCAAAGGGAAACCTTTAGTTCTTAATTCAGCAAGAAAATTTTCGCCTATGACACAGATAATGTCTTACCACATGTACATTCTTATTGTGGGCTGAACTGTACTCCTGAATCCATCCACTGAAATCCTAATTCCAGTACCTCAAACTGTGTGAAGTTTGGCATACAGGATCTTTGAGAGGTAATTAAGATAAAATGAAGCCAATCCTGCTGACAGGGTTCATCTCTGACAACCTCCAAAACAGTGAGAAAGCTAAGTCCTGCTATTTAACCTTCATGGCCTTTTGTCACAGTGGCACCAGCTGACTGACACACTTTGTAAATCTGTGACTTCTCAGACCTCATTTCAAGATGTCTTCAATCCATGCTCCCCTCTTATTTTGATGAAATTCCCACAATTCCTTAAATGAACAGCAGGGATCCCAAATTCTCCTTCCATGTGGTAATGCTGTGCTATGTTACTGATAAAATAACATATTAAAGTAAAATAAAATAAAATAAAGACACAGATGGGAAGTATGTCTTTTGAATTCATCAGAAAGGAAAGGTCCTTTTCATATGACATGGTCTCCCAACTTAGCCCATAGGAGTAGGGAAAGCCAAGGTTGGTCTGTGTTAAAACTGTTGGACTTTGAGCTCCTCCTCTGGGAGCAGTAAGAGTGGGAGACGCATGAGCATAAAGAAGCCGCACGAGTGTTTGTCTGCTCCTTCAGACCAGAAGCCTCTCCAGGCATCATGCTGGAGCTCTGGGCTATTTAATAAAACAATTCCCCAATAATAAGGCTTCTCCCTCTTTCTTCCATGAATACTTCTGAATGTATCACTTAGACTGAAAACAAAGGGAAAGCCGCAGGTCTTGGCCAAAGACACAGGCTCTTGTAACTCTACACCAGCATGAAGAACACCAGTGTAGTTTGTCGTTTCAAAAACCAAGCAGATAAATTAACTCAAGGAGATGCAAATATCTTTCTGTATTCCTTTGTTGTTTAACTAGACATGTTTATCAACAGATTAAAATGGTTACTTCAGTTTCTAAATGAGGTGTTAAATCTCATGCAGAGCTCTGAGGCTCTGTGATACTGTAGGGCTTGCCTAATTAGTGATTTTTTTTCCTATGACAGGCAAAAGTGGTAAAGCCAGACTCGAAGTCAGCAGGAGAAGGCCAAGAGGGCATTGCCATGGAGTTACCAAGGTCCGTATTTCAAAACATTCATATTTAATATGAATATGCAAGTTTGGAACCTGAACACAAAAGAAAACTTAGCTTCTCTTTGGAAAAAAAACTTACTATATTTTAACAGATTAATAAGGGAATTAAATAAGGTACCTGTATGAACAGGTACACTAAGCACCAAGTATTAAATACCTAAGGCCATTCTATAGAAGAGATGCAACATGAAACATATCTCAAATTAAAGCAGGGAGGGGAGGGAGAAAGATGTCCAAATTACATCTAGCCTCTGTTTAACCTTCTGAGTTATAAAGCCCAGTCCTAGAGAAGTGGCCACCTTCTGCCTCCTAGCCCCATTGCTGAGATCACTGTGGCTACAGCAAATATGTTATCTTGGGGACAGATGTGAGGTGTTGAGGAGCACTGAAACCGTTGGGTATTCAATGTTCATGATGTTCACCCTCAAGCAGAATGCAATGTAGATGCATTCACACTGAACACCATGCACGACTACCAACTTCTTCCTGGATTAAGCTTACCTAACACTCAGATGGCATGTCATAACCTTCTTGCCCTTAGGAAGCATATACACACTTCTTATGATGCTTGGGGGCCACTGTAAGATGAAAAGTCCCCGACAAAATTCACAACACTATGGAAGACAAGATCCAAGACAAGATAAGCCCTCGACCTGGGGCTCAGCCTCCTGGAAAAGAGCCTGCGGGTAACTCGAAGTTGCCACTCTGCACATGTCCAAGAATGTGAAAGTGGCATCAGTATTAATTTTGAGTTACCAATAATGTTTTACCAGTAGGCAAATTCACAAATATTAAGACTGCATCTCCAGTTCCATCAAGGATCAGGGCATTCTCCATCTTCTTGTCCTGATATCACTTTACATAGCACAGGGCAGGTACCTGTACTCTGAGCAGCAGATGCCGGTTAGCGTGTTCCAGCTTCTTCTGTCTGTTTTCAAGGTCCTTTGCACGCTGCTGTTCCCGTTGCAACTTTCGGATGTAGTCCACGGAGGCCTTTAGAATGGTTCCTTTGTTCCACCGCATGTCCCTGTGATGAGATGGAGGACAACGGACCCTTTTAGGAACTGAGGTTCAAAGAAAATTCAGCATTCAATGTCCAGCTGGAATAGCAATCGTACATAAGGAATAGTTAGTACTCACTAAGTGCTCACCCCTCATTGGCCACTGACCACTTGTTTGGTATGTATCATCTTACTTTCTCCAGACGAACACCTTTATAAGGTAGAGACACTGTGCAGATATTGAAACCAGTACAGTACAAGTCTATCTAGATGGCAGATCTCTCACAAGATGAAATCGATTATTTAATTCATGTGTGCTGTGTAGATTATCAAATCTTATTTGTAAACTGTCTTAAATGGTTGCATATATCTGGGACTATAAGGGTTTATTCACTGGGACAGGATCAGAACAGCTGAAGTCCTTTGAGATCCCACGACTTGTCTGTGGTGTGAAAAAAGCCACTCTTGGATTTTTTGTTTGTTTGTTTTGTTTTTCAAGTGAGGGTTTCTCTGTGTAGTCCTGGCTGTCCTAGAACTCACTCTGTAGACTAGGCTGGCCTTTAACTCACAGAGATCGGTCTGTCTCTTCCTCCTGAATACTAGGATTAAAGGCATGCACTCACTACTGCCTGGATCACTCTAGGATTTTTATCATAATTATCATAGGCTGTCGGTCATCTAACCTTTCTCTGTACCTACTTTCTCATTTGAAGTGATGAAACTACATGTGTATGAGCAGCCTTGTAAGTGCATCACTGGAATCAAAGGAGATGTACTATGTGAACTTTAGAATACTAGTCAATAGTGGAATAAGTGCTGTGTCAACACAATGACCAAACTGCTGTGGTTTGAATCCTAGTGAGATGCTGCCATATAATCCCAATCTCAACAGCTGCCAACAGGAGTGGACTTTCAGTTTTATTGCTGTAGCTCTAATGTACTCATGTAAGAAAATTATCATCATCAATGAAATGTAGACAAAAGATATGATGGCTAGATCTTTGTCAACTCAACACTAGCTAGGATCATCTGGGAAGAGGAAATATCAATTGAGAAAATGCCTCCACCAGACTGGCCTGCAGATAACAAATCTGTGGGGGCATTTTCTTGATTAATTATGGATGTGGGTGAGCCCACATTATTGTGGGCTATGACACCTCTCTGAAGGTGGTTCTTGGAAATAAAAGAAGACACGCTGAGCAAATTATGTAGAGCAAGCCAGTAAGCAACATTCCTGCATGCCTCTGCTTCAATTCCTGCTTCCAGGTTCTTGCCTTGAGTTCCTTCAGTAATAGACTATGACTGAAACATGAAATGCAAATAAAACCTTTCCTTCCCAAGATGCTTTTGGTCAGTGTTTTACCATAGCAACAGAAAGCAAACAAGGACAAAGTCACCCTAAAAGTCTTAAGAGTACCCCAGAACAAACAATGGAGATCTACATTTATAGAAGTAATTTTTCCAATCCCTTTTGTAGATAATCTTTAACACAGTGATGGCAGTAAGAATGATAAAATGAAAATCTATCTGATGCAAACAGAACCATCAACTAAGCAGATCAGAAGCATCACATGGAATAGATGAGTGGCAGGCCATTAAAACAAGTCACCAAGTAATTGATCCTCCCATGTGTTGGCTGAGGAACAAAACAGGCATTATCCAAAGAGAAAGGGTAGCCACAGCTTCCAGAAGCCCCTGGGGTGGGTCTCCAGGGTCTGAACACCAAAATTGGCAACCCAGAGGTATCCCAAGATACCCAGAGTAAACAGAGGGACCAATTCTCAAGGCTAAAAATCAAAGTAACAAAAGCTATAGCAGCCAGCAGAAACACAACTGTGAAGAGCCAGAGCTGGACTTTTAAAGCCAACCCTTGGCCATTCAGTTCTCAAGAAGTATATCTATCTATCAGTTATCTGGTGTGTACTTCCTTATGAGATTCAATCAGTCATGTTTCTTGGCTTAAATAGATTCAAATATTGTGTTTTAGGTACTTAGAGGAATCCTTTTTCCATGCACAAGTAAATATGTTCCCCAAATATATAAAATCAACCAAAGCTTACTTGTTTTCGGGGAGGAATAAGCATGTGTTGGGACACTAATCAGGTAAAGTGTGTCTCTATTTCAGTTCCAAGGCACACTCTAGAAACCTGGTTTCAGAAAACCACTATCCATGTTACAGTCTGTTTTATCCTCACACAATGTCTACCATGCAAGCTCTCTGTCGGCTCAGGCTATAAACATGTAAGCATTCTACCACAATGGAAGGAGACATGCAAATCCCACCTTACACTGGGGCCCCATAATTTCATAATCTGTTACTGAAGAGATTCACACACTACAGTTTTAAAAGAATATGCTAAAAAAGGGAAAGCTGATAAAGAACAGGAAATGGGAATTCAATTTCAACTATCATGCAAGACTGGCTATAGGAAATGAAGGTCACAGCCTCTAGGAGGATAAATCTGTGCTGTACAACTGAGAGTCTGGATGTTTCCAGCTTGAAAATGCCTCTCCTTGAAGCCTGGGAAAGCAGAGTGTTAGAAGACAGAAACTGCGCACATTCATCAAAACCACCTCACAATAGGTAATGGTTTTATTTTATTTTGCTACAAATTCCCCGACAATAATGTGAATCGTGAATTTAATAAGCCTTGCATGAATAATGCTTGATTGCATCTTTACTTTTTATTAGATAGCTAAAAGGTCATATTCAAAGGCTAATTTCATAGAATGCCTGTGGGGGCCATTAAAATATATACCTCTCCCAGCCCTTTACCTCAAATGGGCCAATTTCTAATGGATAAAAATTGTGTATTTGTTGACCACTTTGCTGACATGGCAGATAACATGGTAGGAAAGACTTGAAAATTATCTGTTAGCTGTCATCTCCCAGAGAGGAGGCAGGGGGGACCAAAGGCTGAAATACAGATCAGCTGACTTGTACTTCATAAGAGGATTAACCATTGCTTTTCTCCTAGATTGGTAAAACATACAAAGAATATGCAAGTTTTCGTAAAAACAATTGACCTTTTGCCTTTCCAGTATCATTGAACTTGACATTTCCAGTATCTGTGCATCAGGGCCCACTTAGTGATGCTACATAGTAGAGGTTCACACACGCCACACATCTTGCCTTAACATCTATTGGGATCTTGTATGCTTTGACCATTAAAAATGCTCCACCCCCCACCCCATTACCCCAAGCTCAAAATTTTCTGCCGAGTTTTCAGATTCCCATACATCCCATTCCTCAGATTCAAAGCTAACTATCTCAGCTCCAATATCCCTTTGTACAATTCAGTTCATTTCTCTAGAAATTTTAGTTTGGTGAAATTAACCAAAGGAAATGCTTAGAAAAGGAAGCAAAGGGCAAGGGGAGAGTTCTTTCATTTCTCTAAGAGAGTATTTTGCAACATATGAGAAAACGGAAAGGTGTGAAAATATATGATGCAGATTAACATGCAATTGTACTCACGGATCATTTGACTTGGGAATCAAAGTACCTAGTTCTTTAATGCGGTCATTTATGTTAAATCTTCTTCTCCGTTCAACTTCAAGAAAAGAGCATGGGAAAGGGCCATTAGTAGCAGCGGCACACATGCATTCAGCACATCTCATTAAAGGCATGTGCACACCGGCTTCACCAGTCTGGACAATGTAAACTTGAACCAACTTCCCCCTCTGCTTATCTTCCTTTTGAATACTAGAGGGTAATGAACTTTAAGAAGAAACGTGCTGCCTTCAGAGTGCTCTCATTTATAAAGCTCTGAGATATGCAATTTCCCACTTAATTCTGTAATAACCCTGAAAATCTGGACTGCATCCTCACCTACACATCAAAATTGGACAAATCTGCATTGTACTTGTTTAACTAAATAGAAAACAAACTTACACTGACAAAATGTGTGCAGATCTATAATGGCACAGCAACACTAATTTGCCATAGGTTGGGCAGCACACACCTGCTCACGCCCAGCAGACAAATTACTTGTAATGGTGTAATTTGAATTTTACATAATGTTTACTGATCACAAGATGTCACTCTGATCTTAATTTCCTTTTGGCACTTAAAATAGCAAAATGTTTGGTTTTGCTCATGAGATAGACAAAACTTTTTTTTTTTTTTAGCCCAGGACTGACAAAAATAAATATACAAGTTATATATGTAGTTCCTTAGTGACCATGTTAAACTAGTAAAAAGAAAGGCATTAAATTAACTTTAATATTTCATTAAATCCATTCTCTATAAGCCATCATCATTTTAGCAGGTAATATATATTTAAAAAGTTAAATTAGAAGGTGTGCAGTCTTTTCTTCACACTAAGCTTTCAAAATCAAAATATTTTACACTTGAGCATATATTTTTGTGTGGTGCTGGGGACCAATCCCAGGGCTTTGTACATGCTGGGCAAGTGTTTTACCAGCTCAGCTCCCAGGCTAGTGCAGCCCAATTTGAACTAACCACATTTCAGATGCTCTAGACATTAAATAGCAATACTGGACAATGTACATCATTTAGCTACACTGTGTATCCTGAGCACATCCCCATCCTGTAACCTCCGTGTACCAGGACTGTCTCTCTCAGGGGACAATGACCTTGTAAAACAGTAAATGATTTTCCTTTACCTAATCTAGCAAATAAATCCCAAATAAGTTTTAAGCAGGGGAAGGGATTCTGCTATATCCCAAGTGAGATCATCTCAACCCTTAACCCCACCACTATCATTTCCCATTTTTCCAAGGAAAAGTCAAGTCCTTGAGGTATTCTACAAGGTTCTGGTGGGCCCTGCCTTGCTGATAGCAGCTTTTGCTCCTCTTCCAGTACAATAGCATCTTCCCTGGCCATTCACCTGTGACCCACTGACTCCACTATTCTATATCCAAGTCAGACATGCACTAGTCACAGTTATGTGTTATCCCCTATGCCTAGAACACTCTTCCTCCAGGTCCCTTACTAAAGAGCTTTTTCCTCCTGTTATGTAGCAACTCAAATTTACCTATATGAATTCCCAGGTTGCCCTCTTCACAATGACCCATCATTCCCATGCCTATTGTGATACTATATTCACTGGGCTCTGTTTCATCTTCTCGCAGAACTCTGAATCTAATCCTTACTATTCACCTATTATTTTCACTGTTGCATTCCAAGCAACCACATGAGCCTGGCACAGAAGTATCACAAAAGTATCTTTAGAGTAGGGTTACATTAAAACATTCTGTACCTGCCTTTTCTCGCTCCCCTGCACACCTTGGGGCTCTCTCATGATCAACATTTAGAGATGCCACATTTACCTTTCATGTGGGAGTTTCCTCTTCAGATATTTATATTAAAAGTGATATAACTTTATAAAACTTTTTTTAAAAAAATGCCCTAAAGTATATGGAGGTAAAGGCTAAAGGAACCCTTTAAAGGAACCATTCCCTAGCATCTACATGCCTGAGACAACTATCACAAACAAGCTGGTTTCTAGATCTTGTCCTGTGCACCCACACATCCAATGGGGACATCCCTCCTGTGTGTTGCCTTTCACAATGGGATGTGCTATGTATTGCTATCCTTGTTCCTCTCAGTAATTAGTATATGGCACCTGAAGTCTGACTAAAATGCACCTACTGGTGGGAAACCTGTTTGTCCAGTTCACTGCTAGAGATAAGCTCCTCCTATCAAACTAGAGCTCAGCAACTTGTGATGGCTGAAAGAACGACCGGATAGACCGGATACACGAAGGCATCCACTTGCACATTTCAGCAAGTATTTTCATGAACTAAATCCTAGAAAGGGGAGGGCTGAGTCAAGGGCAGCAGGACCCTGTGCATTAATTACGAGGAGTTCGAAGAGACTCAAAACTTTACTGACAACCTTCAACAAAAAGGCTCTGATGGGGACTTGAACATAAGTATCAGTTCTGACAGGAACCAACTTCATTTCCTGTGTCTCAATTATGTACGTTTAGATATGACATTGTTATTTTATTTCTAGGGGGGTTTAAGAGAAGATGTCTTTGAGTAAAATTATTTGGAATCTGGGGGAAAATTTTAAGCTGCAAGCTCAGATCTTCAGTTTAAAACTGACAAAAGTTTCTGAAACCAAAGCCAAAAATGGAGAGAGCAGTAGTGATGTGAGTGAGTGCACAGACATGGGGCTTCCCCAGTGCACGTCTCAGTACCCAGCACAGAAAAGCAAAGCCAGTGCGCACAGGTGGTCAACATGACGTGTTCCTAGGACAACGGATTTGAGAAAACTAGTAACAATACAAAAACACCATGGTGAAATAGCTGCACACAGAGTCATACTGTCCAGTAACTACTATGTGACAGTAATTAAGAAATTAACATCAAGTTCTTAGTACAGGTTGTTCAACTAAAAATAAATAAATAGCAAGCAGCTGCAGAATATGGACACTCTGGCATGGTGTATTTAAGCACACAAAGCAATGATTTTTCCTTCTCTGTATATACCCAACTTCATAGGAAAAAATTGGGGGCAACAATGCCGAACTGAAAACAAGCAATTACTAATATCTGGCGATTAGAACAGAGTAATGCATTTCTCTTTTCTTTTAAAACAAAAGCCAGGTTTCTACATGTGACTCATGGTCTCAAAAATCAACATAGGAAAAAAAGTAAAAGGAGAATTCCCCATGCTACTTCCCACCTCTAAATCCAATCTTTATTTTCATTGTGTGGTCTCTATGAACTGCATAGCTTAAACATAAAGTTTTCCCAGGAAAGGGCTTCAGGATTTTATGAAGAGTAGTCCAATGAATAAAAATATTCTAATGTTATGTAATATTTTAAAGAAACAGATAAACACCATAAATTTGGGAGACTACTTCACCCACTATTCCCACCATATGCACTGCTTTCCTTTTCTTCTTTATTCTTTTTTTAACTTTGAAATCTCATTGGAAAAGGCAATCCCCAAATTCCCTTTTGGTAATGAGACCCAGCAGGGGCAGTACTCATAATTGGGTAGTTGGGGATCAAAACTCCTTTTATATACATACATAATCTACCACCATAAACAAAAGTAGGGAATCTTCCAAAATAGAAAGTGTGTGTGTGTGTGTGTGTGTGTGTGTGTGTGTACACATGCATACATAAAACATATGTCTGATATGAAATAAAACCTCTCTGGAATACTCTAAATGCACCTTTAACAACTAGAGAAAATAAGTTTTCTCTGAAAGTAATGGGAGCAGCTTTTTGATATACGAAGAATGCCAACTTTAAGGTCAAATGCCATGGATGTAAATAAAGCAAACTTACTCAAGTTGTGATTGTCCTTTTTTTGCCTCTCTTTAGCCAATGCTCTTGCTTCAGACTCTGTGGGGAAAATACACGCTGTGCACGTGAATGAAGTCATTAGAAACTGGAACTGTTTGAGGGACATAGCAATGTCAATTACAAAGCATCTTTTCTGAACAGTTGAGGCTTATCTTGCTGGAATCTAATGAAAATGACACTTTTCAAGTTATAACTTCTACAGACGTCTACTTCTAATGCTACATATATCAAATCTCTGCAAAGCTCCATTCCACAACCCAGATGAAGTAAATGACAGCAAGCCATAGCACACCAAGTCTACATTTTAGTACTAAAATGAATAAAATAGAAACTATTTGATGACATACCATTTTGTGATTTATTTATTTTAATTTTATGTGCATAAGTGGTTGCACTTATGTGTATCTATGTAGTGTATCATGGGTGGACAATGCCCAAGGAGGCCAGTAGAGGGCATCAGACCCTCTGAGACCTGAGTAACAAATGGTTGTGAGCTGCCACACCGTGTGGATGTTCCTAAATAACTTTTCAGTATTTTTATGACTTTGTAATGCAATGATATGAAAACTGAGGTGACGTTTCTGAATCTGTTCTTCACGGCCTCTGACTATCTTATGAAAATGATGGTAGCCAGGTCCTGTCAGAATCTACTAGAACAAAATTATGTCACAATTCTTAGGAGTCACAATGCATCTATCTACTACTTGTCTGTCTATGGAAACATAAGTGAGGTCTGGTCTATACGTATTTGGTGGCAATGCCATTTGAAAAGTTGTATTTGAACTACAACTTACATGGTATTTTGGTGTCAAGATTTTTGTGTTTTGCCTTGCGAAGAACAAATAAAAGTATCAAAGTATGCTGTTTACTGATTCTAAGACTTATTATATCATGTTAGTTTCCTTTCAAAAGTGACATTTGAAACAGTATGCTAAAGGTGTAGCATTTTACCACAAAATAGGAAGACTTGCAGCTCCTGAGAAACATAGACACCCATGTGACACATACTGCAACCATCAAAGAGAGGGTGCATGGAATGTAGATTAATTAATATTATATCACTTAGTGATATTATAGCCTTCTTGGACTATGCAAAGATACTCTGTGAAGTTCATACCAAAATAAAATCACGATGTGACCTATTTTTCAGGACATACCCTGGCTGTCATGAAACTCCTAATTGCATATGCATGTATGTATATGTATATAGACAGGATTAAAATTAGAAACTTCTAAACTCATATGGTCAATCTCTCTCTTTCTTGCACAGAAGGATAAAAATGTTTTACTTTCTCTGGCTCCTTCATGTTTTTTATGGTTTTGCTCTTGATAGTTTTTGTTTATTAATAATTTCCCTGTAAACCCCAATTAGTACTTTCTTAAAAATGTTTTTCTTCTGTTAAATTTTTCTGACATAGTTTTTGTAGTAATGTTTTTGGGTGGGATAGGAATCTTTACAACAAATCCATATGCTATATTCTCACCCCACCCCACCCCCAATTCTGCAAGAGACAAGAACTAAATAATAAAAAGGGATTTGGGGCAAGGACCATAAAATTCACCATGGTAGAATGCCGGTTCTAATACAGTTTCTGTCATGTTTTATTGGTCAAATGCCTTCCCTAAAGCATCAAACAATGTGGCAAAATAGGTAATTTCACACTTGCCTCAAGAGCAAACATTCTGATGGCTCCATTTTATGATTTATTTCTCCTTCTATAATAAATCTCTTGCACATGATACAGTAAAAAGAACGGTAGGCATCTAAAGATGTGAGAAATAAATTCTTTACTCAATCCCAAGTGTAGGCTTGAATGGAAAATTCAAGGCAGGGTCCTCCAACTCAAATCTCCAGGGGCTTGGCAAGCAAAATATACAGTAGGTGGGGGGGGCACTTTACAGGGGACCAGTACTGCCTATCACCCCCAACCCAAAGGGCATAGCAGTCATGGACAAAGTCACTTTACAAACACTGAAAACAGGCATTCCAACATCTTAATACTGTATGCTAAATTACTGCACAAAGTCTGCGAAACCACAGACACCAGCTAGACAGGAGGCATTGCTGTTACACTGATAATGCTGTCCAATGAGGAACAGAACAGAGTATCATGCTAAGAAGCATATGTGCTAAGTACATACCTGTGAGCTCCCTTTTTATGTTGGGAAGGTTGGCTGGACAAGAGTTGCTGATGGTGAGGCCCGGGGGTGGCAGGCCCTGGTTGCTGTATAGGTCGATCAAGTTTGATAAGACAAGTAACTAGACATAGACAAGCAGAGCAATGAGTTGTTGAATGACTGCTGAGTTTTTCCAGTAAAACTCACACCCTATTCCAGGCTTTGTGGAAAGGAGGATCTTTGCTATAGAGTGCTGTGTCTTAAAAACAGGACAGTATGCACAATCACGCAGAATTACACAATCTGTTTATACAGAGAGAAGAAAGGATGGCCTCGCACTGAGTGCTGTCTGGTGGGCACATTCTAAGAGGCAGATGTCCCCTCAGTGCTGGCTGTTCCTGGGAAATGGGATTTCGTGTGTGTCTTCCATCAAAGTATGTTTTCTTCCTCCCATCTTTCACCTCTCCCTACTTTTCGTGCTTTATTTATAAAGAAAAGCAATGGCAAATGCTTCTTTTTTGTAAGTGATGTCCTTATGGCAAAAGAAAAAGAGGGCTTCCTTGAGATTGAAATTATTCAAAGAACCACAAGAGGGAGCCCAAAGACTTTAATAAAAGTTTTAGGCGGCTAAGAAAAGGATTAATGGCGTAGCCTTACTAACTTAGCTACTTTGAGTGGTACTGTCTTCTTCAGGTTCTCCTGGGATGTTTTAAAGTAGTAAACTTTCATTTTTTCTTGACAATGATGTCCCAGTTGGACATGGATTTCCTAATAGCTAGCAAGAGACAGCAAAGTCACAGTTCCTCTTCTTATGCCCTGGAAAACTTTTTACACATTAGTTATGCCTTATTCCTTCCATCACAGACCCTTAGCATTTCCAAACGATTTCAAATAATTCCTTGATAACTGCATCAGCAACACCTTGCCAATTAACCCTCACCCCCTTACCTGATCATCTGTACTATGTGCTAGACAAGCAATTTCAGAAACCATCTAAGTGTAACTAAAACATGGAGTGATCCAGTATACAAGATACACTACCCTTACTTGCAAAGCTTGAAAAGGGGTTAGGATTTTTTTTTTACCTTCTTATAATTTTATAATGTTTACGTGCATATTTATCTTGGGGACAATACCCAGATACAAACACAAAAATTTATTTACATTTCATTTACATCTAATACATGTGGCCAAAAGATAACTTTATATACATTTTTTAGTTAACCAGCTTTCTTTACTGTGACCTATCTCATACAATTGGGTATCAAATTCTACTTAAGGCATCAGGTTGACACTAAAGTTTTGGGTTAGGGGGGTCAGTGAATTGGCTGAGTGGATAGATGCTTGCCCAACTTGACAAGCTAAATTCAATCTCTGAACCCCATGTGATTGAAGGAAAGAACTGACTTCCAAACTGACCTTTGACTTCTACACATATGCTCTAGCCACATTCACCTACACACATACACACATACAAACACACACACACACTTTACATAAATAAAGTGTGGATGGATGGATGGATGGATGGAAAACCATTTTTTTTTTAAGAGTTTTGGATCTGGAGGTTGGCTCACTGGACAAAATGTTTGCTGTTCAAGCATAAAGATGCAAGTTTGGAGTTCCAACACGAACATAAAATCTAGGTGCATGTCTACCCTGGTGCTGAAGTAGGAGTGGAAAGAGGAGACTCCCTGAAGATTACCAGCAGTCAGCCAGTCTAGTCTAGTTGACAAGGTCCAAGTTTTGGGACAATGTCTCACAAAACCAAGGTAGGGTAGTTAAGGAAGGCTTCTGATATAGGCCTCTGGCCTCTATACAGGCCTGAGCTAAAGCCCTGGCTTAAGAGACAGGGCTGGAGGGCACTATACATAAAGCAAGCTACTTCCTGATGGGTGTACTAGTAAGACTGGGGTAGGCAGGCAGGTAGGCAGGTGGGCTGGCCTTGGTGAAGGCAGCACTTACAAAATCTGCATAAACATAATAAACACACCCACACATTGCACACATGCCAATGAATAGCACTGTGCTAATTTAAAATGTCCTTGGGCCACATTTCAAGGCCCTCCATCCAAGGCTCTGATAAAAAAGGTGACTCTGACTATTTGCAGTCATTGCTCTGAGTGGTTCTTTTGAGAAACAGGTCACCTCAGGGTCAGCCATGCTCTTTGTGTGTTTGGTTTTGTTCTTGTCCAACTTAAAAAGTGGGAGGCATTAGCATGTTTGCATAGAACACTACAAAGGGCCAGAAAGATGAAGCTTACAAAGCTACTAGGAACTGAAGTCTAAAGTCATTTCCCATGTCCAAATCTTTGGGTGGGGTGGGGTTGGGGAGGGTGGACTTAACATCTACACATTAGTAAACCAAATCAAGTTTTGAGGGACTTACATCTGAGCAATAATAAAACAAGAATACAATTTTAAAAATTGGAAACAATGAGCTAAAAGATTAATCCAGTGACTCTAGAAAAAGAAACTGTGCAAATATCCTCATATGCAAACTGGATATGAATAAGCACTTCTGTTATGATGATCATGAGTTGGGTACAAATGAAAGATGGGTGCTAGGTACAACTAGTTCAAAAACAGGCATGACCTAGCCCTTGAGAAGTTAAGGTAGAAGGATCAGGAGTTCAAAGCCAGCAGGGGCTATATGAAATCTTTTCTCAAAAAACAAAAACAAAACAAAAAACAAACAAACAAAAATCAAAATCAAATAAACTAACTAGAAGCAAGCCGCTAGGTCATCAGGGGATGTTCACTGAAGAGACGGAAAAGGAAGAGAGACAAGAAAAACAAGAAAAGGGAAGAGGGGAATGAATGGGAAGAAAGAGGAGAAGAAAAACAGAAGAATGGAGAGGAGTGAAAGGAAAAGGAGGAGAGGAAAAAGAAAAAGAAGAAAAATTCTGTAGTCCACTTTCTGAGTTAGAAGAATCCACTCCTAAACACGGTGAAGTCAAAACTGGATCAAAATACCAGCCCTGGACTAAGAGAGGAAGAAACACATGTTTACTTGACTGGTCAGCATTTCTGCTTTCTATAGTGTTCACCTGCTGGACAAGATTTCACTTCCTTACACAAGAGCAGTGTGGCCCTCGAGAGTCATAGTCTGACCAGCTCAGGTGTGGACAAGGTAAAGGTGCTGCTGCCTTTGCTCCAGCCATGGTCTGATCCGAGTGCACTGGCACTTCTCACCACCAAAAGGAGTATTTTCCCATGTGATCACTGTAAAATGTTATTGTTTCTCTCTGTGGATGGGCCCCATCTCTGTCTCTGAATATCAATTGTGCAGTTAACACAGGAAAACAGGACTTTTATTCTTTGTTTATGAGAGCACAAGAGGGCCTTGTGCCCTTGGAACAGTTATTTCTAGACCTCAGTTCCCCTCCCTCTCTAAGTGTTCCTTCCACTCTTTTAAAGAAGCAGTTAACTTGAAACAAAGCATTTCAAAGAATCAAATAAGTAGAAAAAAATGTAGGGAGAAAAAGTTAAAATGGAATTGGTTGCAGTTGCTTAGTTATTCAATGGAGACTACTGAACTTCAAGATGATCAAGAACCAAGGCGGCCCCCACTTTGACTGGGAGTCTGTTTGTATTGGGCTACTTCTTGTGGATGAAAATTTAAAGTTCTCACATCAATTCAACTACAGTTGATGCAGCATTTTACAGAAAAGGAAACTGGGGCAGAGAGGTCAAATGCTTCCCTCAATAGTGCATGCCCAAGGGCTTGGGTTACAGCTCAGTGTAGGACCATTTATATAGCATGCATGATGTCTGGGGTTTGACATCTAGCATGGCAAAAACAAAACTAAAAACAACAACAGAAAAAAAAACACAAAAAACCAAACAAACAAACAAAAACAACCAGCTTACATCCAGAGTCTGTTTCTAACCTCTACATAAGGCAGTCTTTCTCCTTGCAGAGTTATGTCAGAACAAGATGCCCTTGAGGTGACACTTTGACTGTTCCAGCCTGTGACACAGGAGAAGTGAATATGACAATTTGGTCACTGATTTCTGAGGGCAGCTTCAGGACTCTATCCTGGCTGGGAATGAATGCACCACTTCCTATGGAAGACTGCTCTCTGATCACTGTGCTGTTCAACTGTCCAGTTCTGCTTATGGAGTAGCATGGTTACCCCTTCCAGGTCATGAGCTCAAGGATAGAAACCTTCCCTTTGCAGCTCCTCTACCTTGCCCAGGATGTATTATTGTTGAACTGATAATTAAACCTAAGGCCTCATACATCCTAGGCAAGTGCTTCACCACTGAGCTATGTATGGCCAGGTCCCCTGGATACATGTAGACAGATGCTCTGTGAACCTTGGGGAAAGTTCTCAGGGGTGATGAGCTAATGCAGGAACAAAACTAGGTGTCTGCTGTGGAACAATTCTTCTGTACACTGTGAATACATATTATTCTCATTAGTTAATAAAGAAGCTGACTGGTCTATAGCAAGGCAGAATAAAGTTAGGCAGGACAATCAAACTGAGGATGCTAGGATGAAGAGGGCAGAGTGAGAGTTGCTGGCAGACACAGAGAGAACAAGATGGGCATGCCATACTGAGAAAGGGTACCAAGCCATGTGGCAAAGCATAGATAAGAAATATGGATTAATGTAATTGTAAGAGATAGCTAGTAACAAGCCAGAGTTATTGGCTGAGCATTTATAATTAATATTGAGTCTCTGTGTTTGTTATTTGGGAGCAGACAGATGGAACAGGAAAACTCTGCCTTCAAGTGTCAATGTAGATGGAGAAGGCACTGCATATGTTCTATTCTGTGGAAGTGGATGGAGTCATATAAACTGTCTTTAGAAGGACAGGAAAGCACAGTTCAGCTGGAAGCAAGCTGGGACCAGTGCTCATGTGCAATTCCTGGTGAGCGCACCATGATAATTAGGTAAAGTTTTCTAACAGGCAGTTTGGCACATTGTTGAGCCTTAATGAATATCAACTGACCAAACCAACACTATCAAAAGTAGAAACAAAGGACTTTAAGATGGCCAGTAAGTTCACAGAGTAAGAGCACACTTTGGATTTGAACCCAGGTCTGGTAATACTTCTCCAGTTCCTAACCACTGTGTCTCACTGCTTCCTTTAAGAACTGGTACATATCCTTTATTTGAGGTGTCCAAGAAGCAGGGTTTTTGATATTTTGTATGAATTTGAATAATATGCAAGAGGAAGTAGGTACACATGATTGTTGGTTTGACTTCAAAGGTTTCTATCATTGCAAAACTTATTTTAAAATTGATGATACTATGGAATAAGTCATTTCAATGTCCTTTTGAGTATGCCCAGGTATGTGCATTTATCACTGTGGCAAAAAGGACCACCTTCTCAGCAAAATCCATTTGGGATGACCATGCCATTGCTAATTCATACTGTGAACACGCTCATGTCTTTGGATCTATTTGTTAATTCTGTGGTGGAAGCTCCATGTAGGATCTTGTTCATGTTTATCCCAGGATTCTGGCTATTGACCAAGTGTGCATCTACTCAGATATAACAGCACGAGAGCTAAGGGTTTCATGGGAGTCAAAGGACACAGGGAGAGCTTGGCATAGGTGTCTTGATCAGAATTGACCATCTTCAAAAAAAATCACAGAGCAAGGGGCTGGAGAGTTAGCACAGTGGATAAAACACCTGCCACATTCCTAACACCCACATAAACAGCAATGTGTGTGTGGCAAGTGGCCTGAAATCCCAGCAATTGTTCAGGAGGCTAAGACAGAGGATCTCCAGGGCAAGCCGGCTGGCAAGTCCAATCAAATAAGTGAGCTCCAGGTTTGGTGAGAAACCTCACCTCAGCAAATAAAGAAGTGTGAAACTGAGGGAGACACTCAACGCCAACCTCGAGCCTCTATGTGTTCACACAAGGCACATATGGCTATACCAGGAAATATGTGAATACACAGATACACAGCCACACACACCACACATAATTACAAACTAAGTTTACATGGGTTGGAAAAAGACACTAGATCTTTAAAGAGAAGTTTTGAGATTTCAGGGGACATTCTCACTCCAGAGGAGTTCAAAGCCATCTTGGACAACATCAAAAAAGAAATTGCTACATATTATAAATAAAAAAAGAACTCATTTAACTGAATTTTTGTGTTGATAAGTCAATATGGGCTATCTTGTTCCTGGCTGAGGGCATTTACTACTACAAGTCAGCATTTTTTTTTTAAACAATGTTTACTGTGTTCTAGAAAACAAATTCACATAGTGCAGAAGTTACCATTTTTGATCACACAGTCTCTGTTACATATATTCATATATTTCTTGAAATGGTAGTTTTGTCTTGAAAATCAGATTCCACCCCCCCAATAACTGCCTATATAGCTATGTATATGTGTGTACCCACACAAATACACACACACACACACACACACACACACACACACACACGTGCACACTTCCATGCTTGCACACATGTACCCAGAGAGAGAGAGAATGTCTAGGAAATATAGATCAATGGCAGATCACTAGCATTCCACTTATGAGACCCTAGGTTCAATTCTCAGCACTGAAATAGAAAAACACAAAACAAAGGAGAATTTGTGCTCTTGGACCCAGAGAATAATCACAGTGCTCCTGATAAACTTGAGCAAGCCTCTTAATTTCTGATGTCAAAATTACTAATTTGTGAACAATTTCCTATTTTATTGCTAGTAAATTTCTCAAAGAATCTGTGTGAAAATAAACTGAGTCAAGGGAAACAGAATGGACAGAGAACAACCTTGAGATTTTCTTGGAAAACAAAACAAAAAGGCGGTCAATACCGTGTTTGCCATTTGCAAGGCCGGATCCATCAAGCCCAAGATTTCTTCATTATAACTTGATTCCAGGCTGATGATGTCATCAATTACATCATCCATCTGTCGAGAAAAGAGCCACAGAAGAGAGACAGGAATGAGAAACAGGTGTAAGGCCAACCCCCAAACAGACCTTTTTTGGTCATTTCTTACCTAAAGCAACCGTGATCTTTAGTTAGAGTCTAAGAAGTAACTATTCTCTCCCCAACTAAAACCAAGATATTACTGAAACCCATGACATGAGTAGGTGATGGAAACTGCACTTAGAGCTAGCATTTCAGCCATTGCTAGGCGTCAAGAACTGAGCTTGGGTGTTTCCTTGGAGTGCATTATTTACTTTGACAATGCCCCTGGCAGGAATGGGGGCTCTAATAGGGCAGCTGCTGTCAGGTAAGATAATGAATGAGAAGCAGCCATGTTGCAAGCAGAACCAGGTTGTGATTTAGCCTAAGTTTCTATCTCTATGCTAAACTGCTTGCCCTTTACACTGGAAAGATGAGCCAGGAAACCCCAGTAAGTTCGAAAGCCACCACTTCCCTTTTCCTTTCCCACAGCCTTCAAGGAGAAGGAAACTACAGCAGGTTCTCAGCCCTGGTGTGCCACAAAGGCCGCCTGGCTCCTGGCTGGCCCTATGAGGATTGTAGAGTGACTTGTAAAGCAAGCACCTCTTTGTACAGCTGCCAGTAAGCCTGATGCTCCCAGAGGAGTACACCAGAACGAGGTTATCATTACAGCCATGGAGCTGACATTCCCACTAGATCAATTTCATTGCTGAAGTACCAAAACATCAGTTAGCATCATAAACAACAGTGATTACATGCGCATTGCAACAGTGGCAGAGTCTGTCGAAACATTTCCTTGTAAACACCCTATGTTTGGTGGCTGGCTGATGTGTGTGTGCCCGGGTCCGAACAGTGTTGCAGGATACACAGTGAAACCTAATGGCCAGGGGCATTCCTGTGTTCCTGTGCCCCTCTCATTAAAGAGGTGAGGCTCCAGCATCATGAGGCTTGGGTTCAAATTTGTTTGTGCCCTCTTCCTGGATAAAGGGCAAAGCCTCCAATCTTCAGAAGTCTCAGTGTGCCAATCTACCAAACGGGGACAGTCTACTGCCTCATGAGGGACGGATGAGATTTCAGACGGCTTCCAATTTGTTCAGAATGTCAGGAATGCAGTAAACATCTAAAGAATGAGTCTTCATAAGTGATTTCTCTGAAGAATAACTGGTGGGCAAATCTAAATAGATGCCAGCATACTGAGTGCTAGTTCCCATTTCTAGGCATACCAGTTTTATTTATTTGTAATAGATGGCTTTATGACTAAGTTGATGAATAGGAAAATAGGTAGGGAATTATAAACAACTTTTCTTTATACATTTTGACTTTAGTTTTAGGAGAACAAAATTAGTGTTCTTAATGTATCATTAAAATATTCTACACTCTATTATATCTAGAAAAGAAAAAAACAAACCATTTTGTTTATATTATGTTCTCTCTTATATATCTGAATAAGCACATAAATACATAAATAAATGGTGCCATTTATTCACTAAATAGAATTTAAATAATGATCTTCAATTGCTTGGGGGAAGTGCTCATTAGCTATTATTAATTTACTAAAGCTCCATGATATATGGAGCAGTAGGTTCCATTAATAAAAGCAACAAAGAGATCCACACAGCTTGGATTCAAATATAAGTTTTAGAAGCCGGTACAATGCTACACAACGTGTGCTGGTGACTATGCAAATTAACTAAATCACTGTGCATTTTATTTACAACAATCTATGAATTTTATCCCCTCCTTGTAACTGCAGGAATCTTAAGGGAGACACACATTGAATCTCCTTAGTTGTTACTTAGTCATTCATGAGTTTCTATGAAGAAAATGGGTCAGTTCATAGCTTTTTCTATTTAAAAAAAGAAAAAAATCAATGGGAGGAAAAGAGGCCCCGAAGTCATCAGGAGGTGTGATCATTCACAAATATAGATTCTCATTATAAAGTGTTACATCCACGGCCTGCCGAGTCATTCAGTACCTGCATGCACGACGCTCGAGAGTGCGTGTTCATACCTGGGCACTCACTCTCTGCCCTGCTCTGCTCTTCAAACTTATAGAATGCCTGCAGAAACACAAGCAAAGACAGCCCATGACTTGGGTTTGCAAATGCCTTTTCAACAACACATTCACAGGAGGTTAGTGGCATGGCAACGAAATGGACAGAGCTTTCCAGACAAGTAGATTCTGACTGAGGAACAGAATGATGGTGTGGAACTTGGGTCAAAGCACAGGGCAGCAGATAAGGGTGGATAAAATGTGTTTGGTTTGGCCAGAGGAGAAGACTCAGTCCCTCCATAAACACTTCAATATATAATGAAACTCTACCAAAATGAGACACACTCTTGATAATTTAGAAATAATAGGCACCCAATCGTAACAGTGCCTCCAGGTATTTTTATGCTCCAAATTTGATGCAGAAATTAGCTTGAGGGTTTGCGTCTTGTCTCCAATCCAGCCTTTACCAAAACAGATTTGCCAGGCAGCAATTCATGTTGTAATACGCCTTGCTTTTCATCTTAAATTCCCATGTGCCAAACTGTTCAAATCAATCCAGCACATTCCATGTTTTTTCTTTCACCAACTCCGTGAAAAGTAAAAATAATATCCCAGACATTCAGAGCAAGCAGAACTTCCAAAGCCTCCTGCCCCACACCTTTTCTAATTTTGCTTTCACTTTTCCACCTCCCCTTCTCCTCTCGGCATTTTCACTGCTTTGCAAATTGTAAGGCATAGAAGGGAAGAGAACACTCATCTAAGGAAGGAGATGGGCGTTAAGGAAGCATCTTCACCTCCACATTCTGCTTAGAGCAAGGCAGGTCTCCTGCCGTGTGCATGTGTGTGCAATAAACCCCATAACCTAGCGCTAGTGACAAGATGCTGAAATGTAAATGGTCACACCAGTAAATATGGGACAGAGGCCAGCGACTATGACCAGGTGGACAAAAGGCAGTCCATCACTAAGGGCAAGAGGAGTACCCCAGAGACAGTTAATGGAGTGTAAGAAACAGAGGAGAAGAGGAGATGTGAATTACCTCTTTTTCACAGTTGGAGTTAAGAGTGAGCATAGCCATGGGGCTGTTGGGTGCGCTGCTCCCCGGCACTGGTGGCATGGCATGGTCGCCAGGCTGGTTTGGACATGGCGAGCTCAGGACTTGGCTGGCATGTTTATTTGCTAAAGTGGTAGAAAGGTACTGCTTTACCTGGTGCCTCTGGGCTTGCTGTATGTGGTACTTGGTGGGGTTTTCCAGGTGGGTCTGCACCTGAGCATGGCCATGGAGGGAAGAGAAAATAGCAGTGTTATTCTGGGGTTTTAAACAGCTCTTCCTGTAGTACACATTGTGAGGGTGACCACCAACAGAACAGATTATCCATCCCTTGTAAGGCACTGGGCACTTTGCTAAAGGATTTTGATAGGATTGACGTTGAGAGTCTAACTCACAGATCTAGAACTCTTAGGATCCAAGTGACAACTATCATAGTTGACTTCCATAATAATTAACTATACATCAATCCTAGTGCCCTTCTTTTTCATGGCTAATTGTTAAAATTTAAAAGTATCTATGAGGTCAGAATCCTCCCTAACACACCAGAAAGGATTTAGCGAAAATCAAAATAATAATCTTGAAATGCACAATTCAGTTTATCTCACTTTCTTTGGCAAATAGAACAGCTTCCTGTTAACTCACATGTGTGTGCACACACACAACCACACACACAGATACACATACACACACACACACACACACACACACTCACACTCACAGATACACACACACACACACAATCCTTTAATTATGAAATAGTTATAGAAGATAATCAGAAAAATTGCCATTTATGATTACAAATCAAGAAGTTATAGATTAATCCCTTTCCTATGTAAGAATATAATTATCCAGGATTCTAATTATGAACAAGCTCAATGAAAAAAGCAATCCCACATGAAGCAGTTACTTCCAAGTGCATAACACTTGCATGTATATGTTTTTAAAGGCACAACTATTCCTCAGCCAACACGGTATCTGTTGTCCTTTCCCATAAACATCAAGAGGGAATTAGAAATGCTTTTTTTAAAAAAAAAAATAAACAAAATCAGTGACATTCAATTTAAAGTCACTTTTCACTGACAAACACAATTTAATCTTATACACTCTAAACAAGTTCTGGTGGAGAGAATGTAGCTAGCTGCTAGGGAAACAAATCCAACTGCCATTCCCTATGTCTAAAACTATACTAAATTATTTCTTAGGGCATCAGAAAATAGACAGCGGTAAAGGAGCAAATCAGTTCTTATTGCAAACAGGGTGCTTAGTGAAATAGCATTAAAGAGATGAATTAGCTGTTTATATCCTTGCCATTCAGGCTTTTGGGTGGAAAAGAAGGAAAGCTCACCTGGTAATGACTGTACTCTAGCATTTCCAGCATAGCAACGTCTCAGGCGGCCCCAAGCCAAGGAGACAGGGCAGACTACTTATTCTTCCTCCCTCTGCTTTCTGTAATTCTGATTCCAAGAGCGACTGGCATAGAGAAGGCACCATAAACAAGGCATCCCGAGGCACCGCCGGAAACGTTATCACAGCAGCACAGCTTATAATAACCTAAGCTAATTAGTTATGCGTGTAAAAAAAAAAAAAGCTGTTCTCTCACAAGAGACTTTTTTTTTTTTTTTTTTGTAAATTCCTACTAGTTTGGGCTTAAATATTGATATCAGTTTTCCCCCTGGCTTGACGTCATGCTTTTTTCATAGATATAAAAGAACCTTTTTAAAGGATGAGCTATCAAAGTCAAGCTTACTCTTAGATCAAGGCCGATTCACCATTCATCTTTCGTTCCAGTAGTATTAATGGACAATGGTGTTTCTCTTTAAGCAATAGGTTAAGAGCTAGATGCCCCCTTCAGAGGAGACATTGCCTAAATGCTACTGTCACACATGAGACTTCCCTAACAGCCATGTATGACAGCAGGGCGATGGACTTTAGCGTGGAAGATACTCTCCACACTCTCTAGCTTGGTCATTGCACCCTGGTCTCAATGGACAGCTTACTCTGAACTAGGTAGATAGGAAGCCTGCCTCCTGACTTCAAGACAGCAAACAGGGGAGCTGTTCTATGAGAGAGACAGAGACAGAGACACAGAGAGACAGAGACACAGACACAGAGAGAGACACAGACAAGAGGAGACAAACACAGAGACAGGGACAGACTGGAAGCTGTGATAAAATCCACGGAGTGAGAAGAGAATAAATTATCATGACCCACAGTTGATGCATTTATGGCCCTTCCATCTGTCTATTCCACTATTTACTGTTATTATATGCTAAACATGGAAATCTTAGGCCATTCGCCATGAGCAATCAGAATAGAGAGATGATTTCTAGCTTTATAAAACAATTTACTTCCCAGGGTGAAGCAAAAGGAGAGAAGGGACAGATATATATTTAGAAATTAGGATAAATGCTGTTGAAAAGGGGTGGTGGTATTTTAAGCATAAATATTTCCAATTCATTCCTTTTTTTTTTTTCCTTCAAAATGCTGTGGCTACTAAAGTACTTTTGGCTGGCCATCTCGAACCTGTCTGACGCTGCACACGGAGGTTCACAGGCATTTTCAGTTTTGTAAAAGGGTCCAGACGCGATAATGATGAGGACAATAGACAGTACCAAAATAAACACGAAATGAGGGCAGTGAGCGGAATGTGCTTATTTCACTACTCCCCTTAAAAAGAGACACGGCTGCACATTTAAAAATAAACAGTAATTCACTGGCAGAGCCACTTTCTTTAATGAATCAGACTGTCATGCTTTAGTAAGAAAGGGACTCACTCTCCACCCGGCACTGGCAGAGAGAGGCCTTTACTACACTCAAGTATCCGTTCATTTGGATTTTCAAGTAAGTTAAGACGATAGGGCTAGGGAAACGGCTCAGTCAGGCACAAGCCTGAGGAGCTGAGTTCAATCCCGAGAAGCCACATAAGAAAGCAGGGCACCACTTGTAATTCCAACAACACTGCAGGCATGAAGGCAGACAGACCCTGGGACTCACTGGCAGCCAGGCTACCAATATCAGCTTCAGTGTGAGTTCCTGCCTCAAATAAAAAATGGTGCAGGGTGACTGAGGGAGACCCTGAGGTTGACCTCAGGCACACCACACAGGAGGGGCTGAGGGAAAGGGAGGGAGAGAGAGAGAGAGAGAGAGAGAGAGAGAGAGAGGGAGAGAGAGAGAGAGCCTGTCTGAAAATGTGATGATGTAGACAGCACCAGCAGGTATTCCAAACCTAGACAGCATACACAGGTAACATAACTAAGGGGCACAGCTGTGGATAAGGATGTAGGGAACAGGAAGGTCAGAGGACACTGGAAGCCACTCCTAAAAGCAGCAGTGGATTCAGGTTGCAGCTGATTGCTCTATGGGTACACCAATCTATACAGCTTAAGTCGCCCAAGTTTTCAAGGGTAGCTAGCACTGTGAAATTTTTGAAGTGAAATATTTCAAATTAAAAAAAAAAAAAAAACTAGTGCTCTATTTTTTCATGTAGCAAAGGACAAAGCTGGGACACTGGGAGTGGACCAAGGGAGGCAGCAAACCACCAGGGTGTGTTTTCTGTCGTGGTATCTGTGGACAGGATCTCTTACTGGCATGCCCTGGAGGGTAGACTGGGTTCAGAGAAGTTGTTCTTCTGAGAAGTTAGTGCTCAAATCTCAGTGTTTCCTGGAAACTCCCTGAGAGGCTGGAGGCCTGGTGGCATAGTGAGAAAAGGAACCGAGGACCAGGCATTCATGTTCAGACTCTGAGAGTACAAATGACTAAGCAAGTCCTTAACTTTTCCAGGCCTTCGAGTGATCTTGTACCAAGGCAGATAATAAGAGCATCTACAACCTGCTTTCAGTGTCAGACAAAAGACCACCAAATATCAGAAACAACAGTCCCCAAAGCTAGTCAGTGGGGCCTTGAGTTCTTCCAAATTGCTGTGTTTGTGTGAATCCTATCAATACTCACCAGCTTAGCATGAAAATGGGAAGCTTGAAAACACAAGATCACATGCTAGCATAACAATGACGACTTCCTAAGATACTACATACTTCTATACCAGTGGGAGGAGAGGGAGAGGGTCAGAAAGTTTCTTAGTATTAATACAGAATTAGTTTTTACCTCATGGAAACACTCCCAAGTGTCCTAGAGAGTCCCGAGTCTCCTGATCACATTCTGAACCACTGATGTAGGACATGGTTACTCTAGCATCATCCTGGCTGGGTTACATGCCACTTTGAACATTCTAACCTCTCTGTGCCCTGCTCTTCTTGTCCTAAACCACTGATGTAGAACATGGTTACTCTCTTAACATCCCGGCTGCATTGCATGTCACTGTGAAAAGGTCTAACCCCTGTGTGTCCTGCTGTTCTCATCCTGAAGATGCTGGCGAAAGATCTACTTTGTTCTCACTCCTTCACACCATCCTTATGAGGCTCTATAGCCCTTAAAGTAAAAGCCTGAATAAATAAAATATGGTGCAAAAAATTGAAGCATTTGAATCCAAGCATTTGAAGTCCAGATCACAAGGCCAGTCTACAATATTCCAAACTTTTACCACAATACAGTATTCACTGACATCATTTACATTCATATTAGCTATCACATGAAAATGTGGGATCTCAATTGTCTCAATGCACCTATTATAAAGCGAGAGGGATGAACGCTTTGGATTTTAGATAAACAGTATTTAGAAACCTCATAAAAAGTGTATTTGGAGGACTAGAAAGAAGCCTAGGTGGTTAAAAGCAGTGACCCCTCTTTCAGAGGGCCTGGGTTCGATTCCCAGCACCCTCATTGCCATTCACAACTTTCTGTAACTGCAGTCCCAGGGGATCCAATGCCCTCTTCTGGGCTTCTCTGGCATTGCATGCACAAAATGCACAGACATATACATAGATAAAGCACTCATAAATATAAAATAAAAATAAGAGTGAAAATTTTAAGGTATTACATTAACATTTTAATATATTCATTGCTTCAATTGTTATATATGAATGTTAATAAATACCAAGATATTTTAAAATATAGAGAACAATCTTGTATGTGTTCATTCACGAATGTCTCTCATGTGCCCAACAGTACATTTTATAATCTATCCTACAGTTAGTCAATTCAAACCACATTTGTAAAAGAAGCCACTTGAATGATGCTATAGAATAGCCTTCAAAGTTTCTTTCTTTTTTTTTCAAGACATATTTGACATTTTAATATCTTTCCTGTTCATTTCCATCAGT